TCTTCAATAATATATAAACTTTCTTAACTCCCTCCCAAGTAAATGTTATTAACTCATATTCCTGACAACACGACATTTTCGACATCATGTCAAAAACCTCTGAAATCTTTAAAAATCATCTTAGAATTTAACATTTAAATTTTTATAACATATATTTCTACATTTAAATATTTATAACATATATTTCTCACAAAATTATGATTTACGACATTTTTGACATAGTGTCAAAAACCTTAAAAGTGCATAAAAATAATCGCAGACTCTTCAATAATATCAACATTTATCAACATCCATTCACCCTAGTGTTAACACTTACCTTTCCCTATAACAATGTGATTTACGACATTTTCGACTTCATGTCAAAAACCTCCAAAATCCATAAAAATCACCCTAGAATTTACAACTTAAATGTTTATAACATATATTTCTCCATTTAAATATTTATAACATATATTTCTCACAAAAAATATAATTTACGACATTTTTGACACAATGTCAAAAAACTTTAAAAATGCATAAAAATCATCATAGACTCTTCTATAATATCAAAATTTATGAACATCCACCCACTCTGGTGTTAATACCTAATTTTCCCTACAACCATGTGGTTTACGACATTTTTGACATCATGTCAAAAACCTTCAAAAAATACATAAAATCGTCTATAATTTAAAAAAGTTTATAACTCCCATCCAAGTGGATGTTGTTAACTTATATTTCTGGCAACAATGTTGTCTATGACATTTTCGGCATCATGTCAAAAACCTCAAAAATTCATAAAAAATCCTAAAAGGGTCTCCAATAATATCAATACTTGCATAACCCATCCCACCCATCAAAATGTTGTACAATGTATTTCCCTACAATAATTTGGTTTACGACATATTCGACATAGTGTCAAAAACTTCAATTGATTAAAAACACATTATTAATATCTGTAATTTAACAGTAAATATATATGGATATTAATAACACATATTTTATACAAAATAATGATTTTCGACATTTTTGACATTATGTAAAAAACCCCAACTAATACACGAAAATTATCATAGTCTCGTTTATGATGTCAAAATTCCAACATATAAATGTTTATAAACTATATTCCTCAAAAAAAAAAAAAAAATAGCTTTTCGACATAATGTAAAAAACCTCCAAAATGCCAAAAAAGAAATATTATATGTCCCTGTAAGAATTCCGTAATATATAGATGATATATGCATGTTAACAATGAATATTTGATACACAAATTATGATATACGACATTTTTGACGTAATGTAAAAAACCTCAAATTTTTAATTAAAAAAATTACAGAAACATAAAAATCCCTTTAATATGTCAATTAAATACATATGGGTGTAAATAACTTATATTTTGTATAAAATTATGGTTTACGACATTTTTGACATAATGTCAAAAACCTCGAAAATACATAAAAATGACCATAGGCTCCTCTAAAATGTTAAATTTGTTGCAAATCCTACCCATCTCAATGTTAAAAACTCAAATTCGATACTACTTTGTGGTTTATGACATTTTTGACATAATGTAAAAAACCTCCAAAATCCATTAAAATCGTCATAGACTTTTTTATAATATCAAATGTTGTCTAAATCCCACACACCGTGGTGTTTATAACTTTTTCCCCTACAACAATGTGGTTTACGACATTTTCGACATAATGTCAAAAACCTTCAAAATACATCAAAATGATCATAGACTCCTCTACAATGTTACATCTTTTAACACTAGCCTTAAAATAACTTATTTTCCCTACAACAATGTGGTTTACGACATTTTCGACATAATGTCGAAAACCTCAAAAATTCATAAAACAAACATTTCAAATCCCCACAGTATGTCAGTAATACAAATATGATTGAAAATAACCCGTATTTTTTATAAAATCATGGTTTGCGACATTTACGACATAATGTCAAAAACCTCAAAAATTCATAAAACAAACAATTCAAATCCCCACAGTATATCAGTAATACACATATGATTGAAAATAACCCGTATTTTTTATAAAATTATGGTTTGCGACATTTACGACATAATGTCAAAAACCTCAAAAATTCATAAAAAAAACATTTCAAATCCCCACATTATGATTGAAAATAACCCGTATTTTTTATAAAATCATGGTTTGCGACATTTACGACATAATGTAAAAAACCTTAAAAATTAGACCGAAAAGTTACAGCTAACCTTATTTTCAAATTCCATTGGAAATGTGATCCTCATTTCACTATAACACAAGTTTCCCGCACCATCGACATAATGGACATAGACAAAGGCGTGCGGAACCATTTCTATAATGTGGCTGTGAGGATTTGTTGGCAACTCTATGTGATCCGTGTCAATAATATTGGAATGGACCACAATGGTGTAAACTAAATATGGCATACCGTTCAGCGATTGTATGTCAATTTTTACCGGACTACCTAATTGAGGGCCGAAAGGAAAAGGGTGAGAAGTGAAAGGGACATAATTTATTAGAGTATAATGGAGGGGAGGTTGGAGGTAAATAGATGTATAATTCACTTACACCTTATTCAATAATTCCAAGTTTAGAGGCATTTCCCTGACACTATCCACATAGGGTTCATTGGCAATCATATATGACGTTGTATAAATGGTGTTGCCATATAGCAAAATATAATTTGACTTTGAGTCATGCTCCAATTGAAATGTTGCCTCACCAGTCGCCTCCAAATAGGCACTGTAACTTCGGCCGCCATATTCCATAGTTAGGGGCTTGGTGTCTGTCTATTGTCTGACCTTTACCCTGCCAGTGACCTACACTTGCAAACGTTACCGTATGATAGAGAATATATATTTGATATGTATATTCACGAATATGTAAATATATCGATTCGGTTCCAGTTAGCCCGGTGAAATTTCCTGCCAGCTCTACTTCCATATTTAGGCCTCGGGCCTGCCGTACTAGTTCGCTATGATTCAGATGAAGTTCAACATTGAGTATAGTTTTTACATCAAATGCCTTTTCGAGGAGGACAACATGATCAGGGTATTGTATTAGACGTATTTTTTATCTGACCTTCAACGTATGTGTCAGCGATATATTGACCATAGATCAAGGGCCGTATCTAGCAGATTTCGAATAATATTTTAATCGGTTTCAATGTAAAGGCGAAATTCCGATAAGAAATCACGCTGAACATTTATCGATTTTCGAAGTTTGAACCTAATAACTCCACCAATATAGACACGGATTTGCCACGCACCCTTGTCGGGGTACTCAGATAATTGGAATTTGTTTTTGTAGGGTGACTAACTTTTTTCCATAGATCTCATATAAAGGAACCGCATCATTTTCGGTAATGACTGTAATTTATTCTTCTGCGTTCTGTGTCGAATGTGTCCGATATCGAAAATGTATACCAGGCCTATGTCAAGAGGCCTGGTATACATTTTCGATATTTTAAGGGGTTTAGTTGAATTTTTTAGCCTAAGTGGCTGTAATTTTGCACTCCTGGTTTTTGCAGGGTGAAAAACATAGTTGTTTCTATATGGGTCTAGGATTCCGCACACTTTTCGGTACTGTGAAAAACATAGTTGTTTCTATATGGTTCCAGGATTCCGCACACTTTTCGCTACTTTGAAGGTTTGAGTCGCATTTTCCAAACTAAGTGATTATAATTTTAGTGTTCCGAGTTATTCGATGCTGGAAACTATACATGGAAAATAATTAAATTATAGGTCCATGACAAAGACCCTCATATAAAGGGCCCACCCAATTTTCGATATTTTGAAGAGATTGTAATTTTAGTTTCCAGGTTCTTCCATGTTTTTGGCAGATAGGTCCCACCACATTTTCTATATTTTTTAAGAGTTTAGTCGAATTTTCCAACAGAAAGGGCTGTAATTTTTCATAGCGGTTTTTTAGGAGGCTATGCAGACAATTATAATTATAGGTCCACGTTTTCACACATTTCCCATAACAATGTTCCGCCCAATTTTCGATACATAAGATTTTTTTCGCAGAATTTTTTTAACCAATAGAGCTCTAATTTGCCGTTTCGAGATCTTGGAGACTGATATGATATACATCCCCTATAGAAATGATTTTTATAGCTCCACAAGTTCCCATTTTTTCGACATTTTAAAGGGTTGTGTTGCAAACGAAATGTAGGTCATTATAGGTTCATATTTCGACATAGCCCCAATATTCGGTATTTTGAAGATTTCAAGTCCACCCCCTTTGTAGGTATTTTAATGACCCTGAGCGCATGTGGCCATATTTTAGCATTACGAAGTGTTTGCAATTTGGGATGGTGAACAACATGACCAACATTTTTAACATAAGGTTCGGTTCCGCATATAGACATCACATGTCATTTTCGGTATGATGAAGGTCCTACACCAAATTTTCCAAATTTAGTATCTGTATTTTGTCATGTCATAACACCCAGACCTGACAGATTTTAGGTATTTTTATTGCCTAACACATTGTGAAAATTCTAAAAAAAATCGGCATGTTCGAAGTTTTTACTATTTCATGGTGGGTTTCCCCCCTAATTTTTTTGAAGTAAAATTTTTCAAAACATGGATATATTTCTCACTGGATATATTTCAATATATCTTACCATTATATCCACACGTATCGTATCGAAGGTCTCCAATGGTCTGGTATGTTCATCCAATAGAACCACACCAAATTGCACCTCATCCCACGGTTCATATATGACCTTATCTGTCTGTATGTAAATTTTGGGACCAGTGCCTGGAAATACAATCAGTTAACTCTCATTGCGGAATCGCATACCACTCAAACCCTCAACTATCAATCTATGCTGACCCCCGGTTAATTTTGACATTAGAAATGTTATGGCTGTACTTTCGAATGATTTTTAAAATATCTCCTTTTTCAGCTGATATTTAGGTCCTTCGAGGTGAACATTTATTTGTACCGGTTCCGGGGATTGATGTAAAGTTTACATAGTCTGTATAGTTTCGATTTGATTTAATATAATCAGGGGCTACTATCGAATAGTAACTGCAAGGGAGACAAAAAACAAAATTTAGATACACAAAATATTTAAAAAATCGCTAAATTACATTTGGTCCCCAGCGTAACATTGCCAAGTATAAATACAATGGTAATAATAAAGTGCTGCATTTCTTATGGCCAAATTTGTCCGAACAGCCTGAAAGTCTGCCAGTGCGGACTACAGATGCCAAACTAATTAGTATTTTTAAATTTTGTTCGATTCTGTAGTTATATTTTGTTTATAACATCCAATTCTAATTCTCGATCGAGAGATAACCTTTGTAATGCAATGCAGTTCGTCATTATCGTCGTGTGTCATTATTTATACAAATTTGTATATCCCGCATTTTTAGGAACAATATTGATTTGGCACGATTGTGTTTACTATCTAGACACTTGGCCATCTAGACACCTGGCCAGCTGACATTTGAACTTAGTTCGGTAAACACACGTTGGTGTTGGTCTTTGAAAAAAATATTATTTACAAAATACACGCTTCAGATTGTGATTCCAAAATGTTGTTTAAAATATCCACCCTGGGTTCAGATCGTCGAAGAAAACTCCATTCAACACGAATGATAAGGCCAGCTCTGCTGAAATGGCTCGCTTCAGCCCTGGAAAGACTTCCTTCACCTCGTTTTGAGAGACTCCCTTCGGCTCGTCTAGGGAGAGTCCCTTCAGCTCGTCTATGAAAGACTCCCTTCAGCTCGTCTATAAAGAGTCTCTGCTTCAGCCCGTCTACAAAAACTCCCGTTCAGCTCGTCTATAAAGACTCCCGTTCAGCTTGTCTATAAAGACTCCCGTTCAGCTCGTCTATTAAGACTCCCGTTTAGCTAGTCTATAAAGACTACCTTTCAGCTCGTCTATAAAGACTCCCGTTCAGCTCGTGTATGAAAGACTCCCGTTCAGCTAGTTTATGAAAGACTTCCGTTCAGCTCGTTTATAAAAGACTCCTGTTCAGCTCGTGTATGAAAGACTCCCGTTCAGCTCGTGTATGAAAGACTCCCGTTTAGCTCGTCTATGAAAGACTCCCGTTCAGCTCGTCTATAAAGACTCCCGTTCAACTCGTCTATAAAGAGTCCCTGCTTCAGCTCGTCTATAAAGACTCCCGTTCAGCTCGTCTATAAAGACTCCCGTTCAGCTTGTCTATAAAGACTCCCGTTCAGCTCGTCTATAAAGACTCCCGTTTAGCTCGTCTATAAAGACTCCAGTTCAGCTCGTCTATGAAAGACTCCCTTCAGCTCGTCTATGAAAGACTCCCTTTCAGCTCGTCTATGAAAGACTCCCTTCCAGCTCGTCTATAAAGACTCCCTTCCATCTCGTCTATAAAGACTCCCTTTCAGCTCGTCTATAAAGACTCCCTTTGAGCTCGTCTGTAAAGACTCCCTTTCAGCTCGTCTATAAAGACTCCAGTTCAGCTCGTCTATAAAGACTCCAGTTCAGCTCGTCTATAAAGACTCCAGTTCAGCTCGTCTATAAAGACTCCAGTTCAGCTCGTCTATGAAAGACTCCCTTTCAGCTCGTCTATAAAGACTCCAGTTCAGCTCGTCTATGAAAGACTCCCTTCAGCTCGTCTATAAAGACTCCCTTTCAGCTCGTCTATAAAGACTCCCTTTCAGCTCGTCTATAAAGACTCCCTTTCAGCTCGTCTATAAAGACTCCCTTTCAGCTCGTCTATAAAGACTCCCTTTCAGCTCGTCTATAAAGACTCCCATTCAGCTCGTCTATAAAGACTCCCTTCCAGCTCGTCTATAAAGACTCCCTTCCAGCTCGTCTATAAAGACTCCCGATCAGTTCGTCTATAAAGACTCCCTTTCAGCTCGTCTATAAAGACTCCCTTTAAGCTCGTCTATAAAGACTCCCTTTAAGCTCGTCTATAAATACTCCCTTTCAGCTCGTCTATAAAGACTCCCTTTCAGCTCGTCTACAAAGACTCCCGTTCAGCTCGTGTATGAAAGACACCCTTCAGCTCGTCAATAAAGACTCCCCTCAACTCGTCAATAAAGACTCCCCTCAACTCGTCTATAAAGACTCCCCTCAACTCGTCTATAAAGACTCCCGTTCAGCTCGTCTATAAAGTCTCTCTAAAGACTCCCGTTCAGCTCGTCTATAAAGTCTCTGCTTCAGCTCGTCTATAAAGACTCCCTTTCAGCTCGTCTATAAAGACTCCCGTTCAGCTCGTCTATAAAGACTCCCGATCAGTTCGTCGATAAAGACCCCCTTTAGTTCAGCTATATAAATACTCCCTTCGGACTTCCTTCAGCGCATCACCTAGAGAAAAATGAAAACACTTATAAGTAAGCAAGTACCCTAACCACTGCAGAAAATTCAAGGAGGCTTTGTTACTAGGCGACGCTAGATGGCAGCCTCAACACCGAGAACAGGCTACCTATCTGAAAGCCCTATGCCTCCAAAAGGATATATACGCAAAAACCATACGGACTTATTAAAAATATTATTTTATGGATTTTCAATAAAATATTTGTTCAGGATTTTTTTGAATATTTTTTTTTGCTTTTTTATTATTGCATTATTTTATTTCCTTCATAAATTTTTTTACATAATTTTTTTCATAAATTAAATTATTTGATTCTAATGTTAGAGTCAAGATCTGCTGAGGTTTTACTTGCTATATTATAAAATACCGTGTCGTGCCGAGTGGTATTATAATAATCATATACAATTATTGCCGATGGCTTCCGATTGATTACATCGTGAAGTTTATATGCCATCATATTGAAGCAATTCATTTCAGCGGCCATTATTCCATTCGTATAGACGATAACATTGGTTGCTGAATTTTTCATTTCTAACAAATCATCGATATCTTTTTCATCGGCACTGAATCCCGACGGTAGATTTACTTCCATTACCACCATATTTGTAGAGGTCGCATTCGCTCCAATAAAACTGAAACATATTTCCAATGACAATTCTCCGGGATTTAATAGTTCCACTTTCGGTTCGATTTGGAAATATTGAAAGGAATCCCTGTCCGCAATGTAATAGTGATAGTAGAATTGAAGAAAAATATTGCCCATGCCAGATACGCGAATTTCCATATTTCGTGTGGATTTGGGTAACTAAAAAGAGAGAGAAGACAAAAACAGACTGGGATATCGGCCTCCAAACTCTCCTCACATAGCTTACAGAGAGTGGCATAATTCAATCCATAAGGACATCTTTCAGACCTTTTATCACTTACCTCCTTGGTCTGTAAAACTTTGATATTATTTTCATCCACAATCATTTCACCAGCTTTCACAACCCCTTTGTCCTCTCCGAAAGATGTATAGTTTACCCGCACATTAACATTACCGCTGACCTTATATTTAATGGAATGTTGGACTAAGGCTTGCAATCCCACCACAGTATCCTGACTAGATTTGAATCCACCCTTGTAATTTCGTTGCTTTTCCAACCATTTAAAAGCTTTCTTAGAGTCCTCCTCACTGTAGCCAGTAGTCAGGAGGGCCATTAATACATATCCAGTTATTTCCACATCCTTAGCACTATTTCGATCACTTTGACTCCACCATATGGAATCATCGGCTGACTTCTTGTACTTCATCAGTTTATCCAAAATAATTTTCGAATTGTCATATTTTCCAGCCATTTGTAGGGTAACAGCTACTATGGACAAAGCATAGGCGTCGTTAATCCTATCCACATTATCATGCAAGAATCGTAGACCCTTTTCAATCACTGCTGAATATTTACGGCCAAATTTCTGAAATGAAAAAATACAGAGAGTAACTTATGAGAGTTTCTGTAGATCTTGAAGAATAAATTGAGGTCAGAAAATATCCCTGGACAAGGTGATGGTCCCTACGGACAAACTGAAGTCCAAGAGAGTCTCCAAAGATAAACTGAAAGTCTGGGAGTTCATACTGACGAACTGCATGAATCAAGGTCTCTATCAACGACCTGAAGGAAGTCGGCATAGTCGTGGTGATGGTAGTCTTTATAGACGAGCTGACGGGAGTCTTTATAGAGGAGCTGACGGGAGTCTTTATAGACGAGCTGACGGGAGTCTTTATAGGCGAGATGAAGGGCGTCTTTATAGACGAGCTGAAAGGGAGTCTTTATATACAAGCTGAAAGGGAGTCTTTATAGACGAGCTGAAAGGGAGTCTTTATAGACGAGCTGAAAGGGAGTCTTTATAGACGAGCTGAAAGGGAGTCTTTATAGACGAGCTGAACGGGAGTCATTATAGACGAGCTGAACGGGAGTCTTTATAGACGAGCTGACGGGAGTCTTTATAGACGAGCTGAACGGGAGTCTTTATAGACGAGCTGACGGGAGTCTTTATAGACGAGCTGAACGGGAGTCTTTATAGACGAGCTGAACGGGAGTCTTTATAGACGAGCTGAACGGGAGTCTTTATAGACGAGCTGACGGGAGTCTTTATAGACGAGCTGACGGGAGTCTTTATAGACGAGCTGAAGGGAGTCTTTATAGACGAGCTGAAGGGAGTCTTTATAGGCGAGTGGACGGGAGTCTTTATAGACGAGCTGACGGGATTCTTTATAGACGAGCTGAAAGGGAGTCTTTATAGACGAGCTGAAAGGGAGTCTTTATAGACGAGCTGAAAGGGAGTCTTTATAGACGAGCTGAACGGGAGTCTTTATAGACGAGCTGAACGGGAGTCTTTATAGACGAGCTGAACGGGAGTCTTTATAGACGAGCTGGACGGATGTCTTTATAGGCGAGCTGAACGGGAGTCTTTATAGACGAGCTGGACGGATGTCTTTATAGACGAGCTGGACGGGTGTCTTTATAGACGAACTGGACGGGAGTCTTTATAGACGAGCTAAACGGGAGTCTTTATAGACGAGCTGGACGGGTGTCTTTATAGACGAACTGGACGGGAGTCTTTATAGACGAGCTAAACGGGAGTCTTTATAGACGAGCTGGACGGATGTCTTTATAGACGAGCTGGACGGGTGTCTTTATAGACGAACTGGACGGGAGTCTTTATAGACGAGCTAAACGGGAGTCTTTATAGACGAGCTGGACGGGTGTCTTTATAGACGAACTGGACGGGAGTCTTTATAGACGAGCTAAACGGGAGTCTTTATAGACGAGCTGGACGGGTGTCTTTATAGACGAGTTGAACGCGAGGACGGGAGTCTTTATAGACGAGCTGAACGGGAGTCTATATAGACGAGCTGAACGGGAGTCTTCTTAGACGATCTGAAGGGAGTCCTTATAGACGAGCTGACGGGAGTCTTTATAGACGAGCTGACGGGAGTCTTTATAGACGAGCTGACGGGAGTCTTTATAGACAAGCTGAATGGGAGTCTTTATAGACAAGCTGAACGGGAGTCTTTATAGACGAGCTGAGCGGGAGTCTTTATAGACGAGCTGAACGGGAGTCTCTATAGACGAGCTGAAGGGAGTCTTTATAGACGATCTGAAGGGAGTCTATATAGACGAGCTGAACGGGAGTCTTCATAGACGAGCTGAACGGGAGTCTTTATAGACGAGATGAAGGGCGTCTTTATAGACAAGCTGAAGGGAGAGAGAATCAAAAAGATTTTATAGACGAGCTGAGAAGAGTCTCTATAGATTAGGCAAAGTTCACAGAGTCTTTATAGACGATATGAAGGGTATCCATAGATGATCTGACGGGATTATAGACAAAATGAATGGAGAGTAGCTGCAGAGCTTCTGTAGCTATGCAATATGTCACGCAGGGTCCATAGACGAGATTTTATTATAAAAGACTTGAAGTTAGGCCCCTAAAAATCGAAAATCTTTATCTGTACCTACCGAATCTTCCAGAAATGTCATCAAAACAAATGCCGTAAGCCCGAAACGATTCTGTTGTGCCGGATAAATTAAATATCCCGTATAAGGGAAACTGCCATCATCACGCTGAGTCTTGGCCAAATAGTCCAGATCATTTCCAATGACTTGTTTCTCAATGGTCGTGATATATTTTTGGGACTTGATGAAAAATCGTGTGGTGTATGCCGTCAACCAGGTACTTGGCTCCGCATCTTTACGCTGGCCAAACAAGCTATAGCCACCATTCTTATGGCGATATGTCAGCTGTTGTTGGTAACCCACTTCGATATATTGTTTTGCTTTGGCCACCAGTTTTGATTGTCGGTGATATTCACCCGTCGATTTCAGATACAGCAGTACCAAAACATTTGGAGCTAACTTTGCCATATTTTGTTCACCACAACCCGTGGGAAGATTCAACAAATCATTTAGATTTTCTAAGACCGATACCATTTGATCACCCACCACGGAAAGGGTTATAAATTCGGACTCAGGTACTATATGTTCGTCAATGGTAAGAGGTATTATTAGATCCCTGGGCTCGTTGGGTGTTACATTACAATATTGAGCCGTGTTAAATTCTTTGAGAATTCCTTCCGGTTCCACACGAAGTTTTTGTATTATTGCATCATTGGCGCGTAGGTTTGTGGCTGTGATTTTTAGGGTTATCTCCCCAATATGCCGGGGATTTATAAAAAATGAAATGGTGGCAACACTATTTGCAGCGATTGTCAAATGTTTACTATGTCTTCGATCCGACGAACCAACATCCTTATTGAAGATGGTAGATTCCATAAAATAGAATTCTTCTTTTTCATTGTAGAGGGTCACCTCGGTATCCACTTGTTCTTGGTTATGTCTGTTGGTCCATCAACAATTCCAAAGCCAGTTTTTTCGTTGACCGTAAATGCTGTGATCCGCCAGGTGGTAATTGTGTCCGGAATCTGTAGCGTAAGCTGAGTGGTGTCATTGGTGCTGCAATATAAAAAGGGAAATTATTTTATTGATTTTTTTGTGGGAGCAATCTCTCGATTGTCCTTACATTTCGTAATTCTCAAAAATCCAAGTTTCTGGAAAATTTTTACGAGATTTAAGAATTCGTGTTGGTACTGGGAGTATCATTGTTGGATCTGAAAATACCATAATATATAGTGTTTTTTTTTTTTTTTTTTGTAGTTCAGTAAAATGAATGTAGTTCAGTAAAAAAATGCACGCCTTGGATAGTCCTCGAAAAAATATTCTTAAAAAATCCACGCCTTGGATAGTCCTCAAAAAATATTCTTTAAAAAATGCATGCCTTGGATAGTCCTCGAAAAAATATTCTTTAAAAAATGCAAGCCTTGGATAGTCCTCGAAAAAATATTCTTTAAAAAATCCAAGCCTTGGATAGTCCTCGAAAAAATATTCTTAAAAAATCCACGCCTTGGATAGTCCTCAAAAAATATTCTTTAAAAAATGCAAGCCTTGGATAGTCCTCGAAAAAATATTCTTTAAAAAATCCAAGCCTTGGATAGTCCTCAAAAAAATTTTCTTTAAAAAAATCCAAGCCTTGGATAGTCCTCGAAAAAATATTCTTTAAAAAAATGCACGCCTTGGATAGTCCTCGAAAAAATATTCTTTAAAAAATCCACGCCTTGGGTAGTCCTCGAAAAAAATATTCTTCAAAAAATCCACGCCTTGGATAGTCCTCGAAAAAAATATTCTTTAAAAAATCCACGCCTTGGATAGTCCTCGAAAAAAAATATATATATACAATATATCAACATACCTAACAATGGAACGAATTCATAATGGGCATTTGTCATGGTTATAACACCGGATAATAGCCCCGGGTAGACCAAGGCTAAAAATGGAACACGACTAACATCATATTGCAGTGAGGACTATTCAAGGCGTGCATTTTTTAAAGAATATTTTTTCGAGGACTATCCAAGGCGTGCATTTTTTTAGAATATTTTTTCGAGGACTATCCAAGGCTTGCATTTTTTAAAGAATATTTTTTCGAGGACTATCCAAGGCGTGCATTTTTTTAAAGAATATTTTTCGAGGACTATCCAAGGCTTGGATTTTTTAAAGAATATTTTTTCGAGGACTATCCAAGGCGTGCATTTTTTAAAGAATATTTTTTCGAGGACCAAGTACTTAATATTACTAGACCCTTACCATTATATCAACACGTATTGGTTCGGATACCCGCAAAGGTCTTGTGTGTTCATCCAGTAAAACAACACGAAATTGCACAACATCTCCCGGTTTATATACGGCCTTATCGGTCTGTATGTATATTTTCGGACCAGCATCTGGAAATGCGATCAGACCACTCTCATTGCGGAATCGCATGCCGCTCAAACCTTCAACGATTAGTTTATGATCACCTTCGGATAATTTTGGTGGTAGAAAAGTGATGGCTTTACTCTCGAATGGTTTCAGGAACATATCCTTCTGCAGCCTAAATGCGGGTCCTTCGATGATCACATTAATTTTAACCGGTTCTGACGATTGATGTAAGTTAACAAACACTGTATAATTACGATTCGATTTAATGTAACCTGGGGACACTACCGAATAATAACTGGTGGGAGAGGGAAGAAAAAATTATTTCTGATGGATTTTTTTGGGAAACTCCTTTCGGTACCTTTGGCTTGTCACAAATAGGAAGCGGCCCAGTAGAATAGCAATATTTATTAGGAAATATTGCATTTTGAGAAACAAAGGACTGTCGATTCGAAGTGCAGATGTGCTACTAATTAGTATTCATAATATTCGCAGCTTTTATTTGTTATAATTGTCGCGTATGCTAATTCTCTGCCAGGAGATAACCTTTGTAATGCAATGTAATTCGCCACTATTATCGTGGGTCGGGTGACGTCTATTTCAGAAATTATCAGCACGGATTTCCCCTTCAGTGATTACAAACTATTAATTTTATATCAGTAAATTTATACTTGACGAAGGTTTGAACGTGGGTCCAACAATTCACGTGAGTACGATTATGCTGGACCTTGAAAAAATATTCTTTGAAAAATCCATGCCTATGCTGGACCTTGAAAAAATATTCTTAAAGACATCCATCCCTGTATGATCCTTGATAAATAGTATTTAAAAAATCGATGCCTGTATTGTTTCGTAAAAAAATATATATTTTTTAAATATCCACGCCAATTATAGTCCATGAATTAAATACCCTTCACCATCCTCCGCCCGCACCATAAGAAAGAAAACTTAATTTATTTATTGTTCTACAACTACGGCAAAAATACAAATGTATTTTTATTGAATTCAAAGTTCATTGCCATCTTGAGCTGCTTCTTTGTAAATATTATAGAAGACCGTATCGTGACGATTAACATCGTAATAGTCATAAACAATTATCGAAGTCGCTTTACGATGGACCACATCATGCATTTTATAGGCTAAAATATTTAAACAATTCTTGACATTTGCCTTTAGCTTCTCCGAATATACAATAATGGTTGTTGCGGAATTTTTCGTTTCGACCCTCTGGACAATTTCATTATCCATCAAATAATCGCTATCCTCTTCGTTGACACTGTACCCAGATGGTAGATTTATTTCCATGACAATCATATTTGTTGCCTCCGAGTTGGGTTCAATATAACTGAAACATATTTCCAAGGAAATTTCTCCGGGATTTAAGACCTCGACTTTGGGTTCGATTTGAAAATATTGAAATGTTTCAGCACCGGTGGTGTAATAGTGATAGGCCAATTGGAGTAGCGAGGTCCCCAGCCCGCTGATTTGAATTTCCACCAAGCGTGTTGTTTTGGGTAACTGGAAAAAATAAAGAAAGAAAAAGAAAAAAGAAAGAAAAGGAATATCGGAGATCAAAGATTGTTCTCTAAAGACCACTGTCTCAGAGATAGATCTAAAAAAAACCCATTTTCAACTTCATTTTATAAAGATTCCTTAACTCATCTGTAAACACGCCCTTCAGATAGTCGATAAAGACGATATAGACCGTCGATAAAATCACCCTTCAGAGCGTCGATAACACCGTCCTTCCTAACGTCGATAAAGACAACTTAAGTTCGTATATAAATACAGCCTGACATTACCTTGTCAAAAAGTCTCCATCCTTCCTATATACTCCCCACAGCTATACCGAGCTGACTCCCTCCAGCTCACCTATAAATAATCCCAGCTTCAGCTCGTCTATAGAGACTCCCTGCTTCAGCTCGTCTATAGAGACTCCCTGCTTCAGCTCGTCTATAGAGACTCCCTGCTTCAGCTCGTCTATAGAGACTCCCTGCTACAGCTCGTCTATAGAGACTCCCTGCTACAGCTCGTCTATAGAGACTCCCTGCTACAGCTCGTCTATAGAGGCTGCCTGCTTCAGCTCGCATATAGAGACTCCCTGCTTCAGCTCGTCCATAGAGACTCCCTGCTACAGCTCTTCTATAGAGACTCCCTGCTACAGCTCGTCTATAGAGACTCCCTGCTTCAGCTCGTCTATAGAGACTCCCTGCTTCAGCTCGTCTATAGAGACTCCCTGCTTCAGCTCGTCTATAAAGACTCCCTGCTGCAGCTCGTCTATAAAGACTCCCTGCTGCAGCTCGTCTATAAAGACTCCCTGCTGCAGCTCGTCTATAAAGACTCCCTGCTGCAGCTCGTCTATAAAGACTCCCTGCTGCAGCTCGTCTAGAAAGACTCCCTGCTGCAGCTCGTCTATAAAGACTCCCTGCTGCAGCTCGTCTATAAAGACTCCCTGCTGCAGCTCGTCTATAAAGACTCCCTGCTGCAGCTCGTCTATAAAGACTCCCTGCTGCAGCTCGTCTATAAAGACTCCCTGCTGCAGCTCGTCTATAAAGACTCCCTGCTGCAGCTCGTCTATAAAGACTCCCTGCTGCAGCTCGTCTGTAAAGACTCCCTGTTGCAGCTCGTCTATAAAGACTCCCTGTTGCAGCTCGTCTATAAAGACTCCCTGTTGCAGCTCGTCTATAAAGACTCCCTGCTGCAGCTCGTCTATAAAGACTCCCTGCTGCAGCTCGTCTATAAGACTCCCTGCTGCAGCTCGTCTATAAAGACTCCCTGCTGCAGCTCGCCTATAAAGAGAGATTCCATCACCTGGTCTATGGAGACTCCCATCAGCTAGACTATAGAAACTCCCTTCAGCTCATCTATAAAGGCTCTCTCCCTTAAAAATTTCCTTGTTCTCGCCTGTGAAGACTTAGCTCACCTGTAAAGACGCCCTCGCCCTTAATCTCGTCTAAATGAAAACGCCCTATTAGCTCACCTAAATATAGACCAACAAACTGACATTGCCTCAATTCACCTATATAAAAACGTCCTGCTTTCAATGCACCTATTATGACCTCATTTTATTTATTCTTTATTTCTTCCCTACTATGACCTCATTTTATTCTTCTTTTTTTCCATTCCCTTACCTCTTCCGTTTGTAGTACTTTGACATTATTTTCATTCACAATTATTTCACCGACTTCCAGCACCTGTCTATCTCCATCCATTGCTGTATAGTTAAGCAGGATATTAATGTCACCACCGGTCTTATATTTCATGGAATATTTAATTAAGGCCTGCAGTCCCACCACTGTATCCTGACTAGATTTGAATCCACCTTTTTCGTTACGTTGTCGGGTTAACCATTTAAAAATCCCCTTACAATCTTCCTCAGCATTACCAGCCTCTAAGAGGGCGATTAAGATATAGCCTGTGATTTCGACATCCTTTGCCTTGTTCCGATCATTTTGAGTCCACCACATCGAATCATTGTCCACCTGCCTTCGTGATAATAATTTGTCGAGAATCTTTTTGGAATTTGATTTATCTTTGGCCATTTGTAGGGTCACCGCCATAATGGAAAGGGCATACAGATCATTGATTTGGTCCAAATGTTCCTTGAGGAATCCTAGACCCCTTTCAATGGTTGTTGTGTAATTGCGGGCGTATTTCTTAAATGAAAAGAAAAGCAAATTTTTATGAACTATGGGCCAAGTTGTTCTCACCTGTTCCTCTATGAAAGTCATTAACACAAATGCCGTAAACCCGTAACGATTCTGTTGTGCGGGATAAATTAAATATCCCGTATAGGGAAAACTACCATCATCACGTTGAGCCTTGGCCAAATAGTCCAGACCACTTTCAATGATATGCGATTCCATGGACATGGTATATTTTAGGGACTTGATGAAAAATCGTATGGTATATGCTGTCAACCAGGTACTGGGTTCCGTATCTTTACGCTGACCAAACACACTATAGCCACCATTCTTGTGACGATAGGTCAGCTGTTGTTGAAATCCGATTTCAATGTAACGCCTTGCCTTCGCCACCAATTCTCGTTCTTTGTGATACTGACCCGTTGATCTGAGATACTGTAGCACCAGAACATTTGGAGCAAAGTTGGCCATATTTTGTTCTCCACATCCAGTGGGCTGGCGTAACAAATCATTCAGATTCTGTAAGACCGGTACCATATTATCACCCACTACGGACATGGTAATATATTCCGAATTGGGTATAATTTCAGCATCCGAAATATTTATGGGATATGAAAACTCAATCGGTGCATTTGGTACGACATTACTGAATACGGCCTCATTAACTTTTATCAAAATACCCTCCGGTTCCACACGAAGCATTTCAATGATGCCATCATTGGCAAGGGAATTTGTAGCCGTAACTTGAAGTCTGATCTTACCCACTTGCCGGGGATTTATTAAAAATGCAGTAGTGGCAACACTATTTGCAGCGATTTTCAATTTTCTACTACGTCTTTGATCCGACGAACCAACATCCTTATTGAAGATGGTAGATTCCATAAAATAGAATTCTTCTTTTTCATTGTAGAGGGTCACCTCGGTATCCACCGGTTCCTGCAGATAATTGTGTATTAGTATGGGTATGCTGACAATTTCACCACGTTTAACGGCATACGGTAGATTGAGGCTAATAAAAAAGGGTTGTATTGTCGTTATGTCGGTCGGTCCATCAACAATGCCAAAACCGGTTTTTTCGTGCACCGCAAATGCTGTGATCCGCCAAGTGGTAATTGTATCGGGGATATTAAGGGTTAGCTCGGTGGTATCATTGGTGCTAGAAGACATGAAGTGAAGTTATTAGTTTGAGGAATTTGAATCCCCCCATTTTCCTTACATTTCATAATTTTCAAAAATCCAAGTTTCAGGAAAATCTTTGCGAAATCTTAGCCTTGAAATATGAACCGGGCTGCGATCCGATGTAACTGGAAATACAAATACGGATTATAGAGATATTTGTCAGATTTTTATAACTGGTTGGCAACTACTTACAATGTAACGGTACAAATTCATAATGAGCATTTGTCATTGTTATAACCCCAGATAATAGACCCGGATAGACTAAGGCCAAAAACGGAAGACCGCTAACATCCTCCCGCAATGATCCAAGTATATCATCTTTATGCAGATCATATGATGGATCTAATAGATAAACACCCAAATCGACAGCTAAAATACCCACCAAAGATGCAGGTTGAGCTTTCAGTTCCAGGGTTACCTCTGCGCCGGGCTTAACACGTTTGGGCGCCATAACGGCAATCTGAAAAAAATGTATATTGACTAACATTTTAATAAAAATAATTTATAAATATTCGAAAAAAGAAACAAATTAACTGGTCAGTCGAAAATGGAATATATTGGTCCAGATATATAGCCTCCTATATAAAGGTTCCGCTTCGTGATCAGTGTGTTCAAGCTTGCAGCGTTTTTTTTTCAATCAAAAGGCTGAAATTTGGTATTCCGGATTACTGAAGCCTGAAAAACATCTGTGCAGAAAATTTTCAATTTAGGTCCATGTTTCGACATAGGCCCCATATAACGGTTCCGCCAATTTGTGGTTATTTTGAAGGTTTTAGTTTGCATTTTCCCACCGAGGCGACTATAATTTGATATTCCGGATTCTGGGAGGATGAAAAATATCTATGTAGAAAATTTTCAATTTAGGTCCATATTTTGACATAGCCTCAATATAAGGGTCCCATCCTATTTTTCAGTATTTAAAATTTTTTTTTGCGTCCATTTCCGACCTTTTGGACTGTAACTGTCCATGGGCTGTCACAGGTTCAGTAAATTACTGCCCCTTCGGTGGAAAAATGCGACTAAACCAAAAATCGGCGGAACAGTATTTTTGGTTATTTCGCAGGTTTTAGTCGGATTTTCCCACCGAAGGGACAGTAATTTTGGTATTCCGGGATCTTGGAGGTTGAAAAACATCTATGATGAAAAATTATCAATTTAGGTCCCTGTTTTGTCATAGCCTCCATATAAGGGTCCCACTCCATATTCAGTATTTTGAAGTTTTTTTGACGTCATTTTCCGACCGAATGGGCTGTAGTTTGACAGAACGGGTTCTGGGAAAGTGATAGACCTCATCGGTATATTTCCCATTTCTTGACATTGCCCCCTATAAAGGTCCCATTCCGTTTTGGCTATTTTGATGATTTTAGCCGCATTTTCAAACCGACGGAGCTATAAATCGGCATTCAGGGTTTTTGAAGGGTTTATTCTGAAAACTATCAATATTGGCCCATGTTTCGACATATTACCCATATAAAGGTCCCGCCAATTTTTAGCTATTTTTTGAAGTGTTTTTTTCGCATTTTTCCACCGAAGAGAAAACGCTGCGGGTTCTTGGAAGGTGCATAAAATGATCTATTTTATTTATAGGTCCATATTTTGACCCCATGTAAATGTCCCGCCACATTTCCGGTATTTTCAAGTTTTTAGTCGAATTATCCGACCGAAACTACCGTTACTTAGCATTTCGGATTCTTGGAGGGGGATAAATATCTCTGCAGAAAATGTTCGGCCCCAATACTGCTACCAAAATAACGGTCCCGACGCATTTTTGATTTTTTTTTTTTTTTTTTTTGAATTTTTGTGCGACATTTTATCATCTCTGCAGAAAATGTTCGGCATAGGTCCGCATTCTGATAAGGCCCCAGCAGCAACATGGCATCCCGTTTTCGTTATTTTTAGCCGTATTTTCCCACCGAAGTAGCTGTAATTTGGCTTCCCGTATTAATGGTGAATAAAAACAACGTATTTTCCGATTATTTTTTCAATATAGGTCCAAATGTTTAAACATCACCCATACAAAGGCCCCGTTTAATTTTGAAGCGCTGTTTTCCAATCTGAAGGTCATAAAACATAGTCTCCCAATAAAAGTCCCTACCGATTTATGTAAATTAAAATGCGGACCACAGGAGTCGGTCATGGCCGAACATTACGAAGTTTTCACCAGCGTACTTACCTTATTTTCAAATTCCAATGGAAATGTCAACTTCATTTCACAATAACGATAATTACCCTCATCCACATAATGGACATAGACAAAGGCGTAGGGTACCATTTCTATAGAGGGGTTAATTTCAATAACATGACGCCTTGGCTTCATGGGTAAATCAACGAATTCCGTATAAATAATATTGGCATGGGCCACAATGCTATACACCAAATATGGCATATCCTTTGGAGAGTTGACTTCAATTCGCACAGGTCTACCTAAAAGGGGTCTGCAGGAAATAGACTTAGGTTATTATAATAATTTACAAAAAATTTCCCTACTTACTTTGTCTCCAGTAGAGTTAATTTTAAATCGGTTTCCGTCTTATTACCCTTATACGGTTCATAGGCATAGATATTTGCCATGGTGTAAGTGGCATTTTGATAACGGAAAATATGATTCGAATTTGGGTCATGTTCAAATTGAAATATGGTCTCGCCATTTGCATCTAAATAGGCGCTATAATTTCTGCTGCCATGTTGCATAGTCACAGGTGTACTACTATCCTCAATATTTTCGTAGTTCCAAGTTCTAACGCTTGCCGTCAATTGATATGGCTTACCTTTGGCAAATAGAATGGTATTCGAATCCACATTAATAAAATAGGGATCATCATGAAGGCGAATAAATTGGGAATGATTTCTGATTTGTCCTGTCCATTTTTCCATTAAATCGACTCTCAGACGTATACCCCAGGCTTGGCGTATGAGATCGGTAACATTGAGTTTGAACTCAATATTGAGTAGATCTTTTATTTGAAACTCTTTTTCGTCCAACACAATATCCTTGGGTACCTGTACCAGTTGTGCCCGAACTTGACCCTCTACATATTTATCAAATGTATATTGGCCATAGACCCGGGCCGTTATTGTTATCGGATCTTCCAGAATAATATCACTTTGCGTTTCAATGTAGACACTAAATTTGGGCAAGATGTATTTTTGAACTTTTATCTGCTTCGTGGTCTCGAAATCAAAACGACCACTTAAATAGACTCGCAGATGCCATTCTCCCATTACAGGGTGTTCCGAAAGTTGAAATTTATTTTTATAGACTCCTTTGGTGAGGCGAATATCTTTGAATTGTTTCACACGATTATCATTGCCATCCTGAAAAGAAAGACAGAATTTTTAAAGAAAGACCAGGATAAGCGTGGATTTTCTAAAGAATGTTTTTTCAAGAACCAGGATAAAAGCGAATTTTGTAAAGAATATTTTTTCAAGAACCAGGATAAGAGCGAATTTTGTAAAGAATATTTTTTAGTACCAACAGAGGCGTGGATTTTTTAAAGATTTTTTTTCAAGGTTCAAAAGAGGCGTGGATTTTTTAAAGATTATTTTTTCAAGGTTCACAAGAGGCGTGGATTTTTTAAAGATTATTTTTTCAAGGTTCACAAGAGGCGTGGATTTTTTAAAGATTATTTTTTCAAGGTTCACAAGAGGCGTGGATTTTTTAAAGATTATTTTTTCAAGGTTCACAAGAGGCGTGGATTTTTTAAAGATTATTTTTTCAAGGTTCACAAGAGGCGTGGATTTTTTAAAGATTATTTTTTCAAGGTTCACAAGAGGCGTGGATTTTTTAAAGATTATTTTTTCAAGGTTCACAAGAGGCGTGGATTTTTTAAAGATTATTTTTTCAAGGTTCACAAGAGGCGTGGATTTTTTAAAGATTATTTTTTCAAGGTTCACAAGAGGCGTGGATTTTTTAAAGATTATTTTTTCAAGGTTCACAAAAGGCGTGGATTTTTTAAAGATTATTTTTTCAAGGTTCACAAGAGGCGTGGATTTTTTAAAGATTATTTTTTCAAGGTTCACAAGAGGCGTGGATTTTTTAAAGATTATTTTTTCAAGGTTCACAAGAGGCGTGGATTTTTTAAAGATTATTTTTTCAAGGTTCACAAAAGGCGTGGATTTTTTAAAGATTATTTTTTCAAGGTTCACAAGAGGCGTGGATTTTTTAAAGATTATTTTTTCAAGGTTCACAAGAGGCGTGGATTTTTTAAAGATTATTTTTTCAAGGTTCACAAGAGGCGTGGATTTTTTAAAGATTATTTTTTCAAGGTTCACATGAGGCGTGGATTTTTTAAAGATTATTTTTTCAAGGTTCACAAGAGGCGTGGATTTTTTAAAGATTATTTTTTCAAGGTTCACAAGAGGCGTGGATTTTTTAAAGATTATTTTTTCAAGGTTCACAAGAGGCGTGGATTTTTTAAAGATTATTTTTTCAAGGTTCACAAGAGGCGTGGATTTTTTAAAGATTATTTTTTCAAGGTTCACAAGAGGCGTGGATTTTTTAAAGATTATTTTCACAAGAGGCGTGGATTTTTTAAAGGTTATTTTTTCAACGACCAATAGAGGCGTGGATTTTTTAAAGATTATTTTTTCAAGGTTCACAAGAGGCGTGGATTTTTTAAAGATTATTTTTTCAAGGTTCACAAGAGGCGTGGATTTTTTAAAGATTATTTTTTCAAGGTTCACAAGAGGCGTGGATTTTTTAAAGATTATTTTTTCAAGGTTCACAAGAGGCGTGGATTTTTTAAAGATTATTTTTTCAAGGTTCACAAGAGGCGTGGATTTTTTAAAGATTATTTTCACAAGAGGCGTGGATTTTTTAAAGGTTATTTTTTCAACGACCAATAGAGGCGTGGATTTTTTAAAGATTATTTTTTCAAGGTTCACAAGAGGCGTGGATTTTTTAAAGATTATTTTTTCAAGGTTCACAAGAGGCGTGGATTTTTTAAAGATTATTTTTTCAAGGTTCACAAGAGGCGTGGATTTTTTAAAGATTATTTTTTCAAGGTTCACAAGAGGCGTGGATTTTTTAAAGATTATTTTTTCAAGGTTCACAAGAGGCGTGGATTTTTTAAAGATTATTTTTTCAAGGTTCACAAGAGGCGTGGATTTTCTCAAAGTATATTTCTTCTTACCGTAATATCAACCCTTATTGGTTCCGATATCTTCAACGGCCTCGTGTGTCGATCCAGCAGCACAACTCGAAATTGCACCACATCACCAGGTTTATAAACTGCTTTATCGGTTTGTATGTAAATTTTCGGACCACCACTTTCAAATGCCTTTAGAGTCGTTTCGTTGTAGAATCTCAAACCGCTTACCCCCTCAATAATTAATTTATGTTCACCAGATGATAATTTTGGTGGAAGAAATGTTATCGCCTGACTTTCAAATGGTTTTAAAAATAATTCCTTTTCAAATCCGTATGTGGGTCCTTCGAGGTAAATATTTATTTTAACCGGTTCGGATGATTCATGCAACGTAATGTGTACCGTATAGTTGCGATTTGATTTAATATAGCCGGGAGCAATTAGAGAATAATAGCTGGCGAAGAAGAAGAAGAAAAATTGAAGAAAATTTCATATTTTTTATAAAGCGGAATATTTTGTTAGAGGATTGGAGGGCATTTTAGGCCAAATTTAGAATTTACCCTTGACTAGTCACAAATATAACACAAGCGAATAAATAAGCGATTTGTATTAATAACTGTGGCATTTTGTTTATTGAATTTGCGGTTTTTGCGGAACCAGTCCGTCTATCTCGTCCGACTGCAGATGCACAACTGATAGCTAATCACAAGGGAGACCATTGTTTTGATTTCTTGACACCGGTATATATTTTGCAATAGACAACTATAAAAAATATACATATTTAATAAACTAGAACATCGATTAGTTTTGAAAAACAAATTTGATTAAATTATGGAATTTCTATCAATGCAGTGCAGTTTTTGTCCGGAGTGACGAATTGTTTTTCCCAATGAGAGAGAGAGAGAGTAAGCTGAACTTCCTTAATGAAATATGAGTTTCAAAACTATTCTTTTTTTTTTGGTTTAGGATTGCATTTTCTGCGACATTTTACTCAGAGCCCAGTTGATACGATGTCAATAAAAAGAGCCGGGCCCATGTCTCTACCATATTGTCTCATTCCGTTTGCGACACCCCGAAACAATCGTTAGAGTCTCCATAGATTATATACACATTCGTGATCTGAATTGTAATATTTAAGATTGAAACGTGATGTTTAGTGAAAGTTCCGAATATGTTCGGTAAAAGGCATCGCCCTATTTCCGGTATTTTGAAGGTTGTAGCCATATTTTAAATCAAGGGGCTGTAATTTGGCATTCCTTCCAAACTTCGCAGCAATTTCAATATATATTTCTGTACGCTGTGCACAATTTCGCCTCAATGGACCAATCCTTGGGAGTGTGGTGCACCATTTACATGAAATCGGACGAAACTATATATGGGAGCTATATCTAAATCTTAACCGATTTTCACAAACTTCGCATACATCATTACGGATCTACTTCAGTACGCGGTGCACAATTTCGTTTCAATCGGCCAATCCCTGTGAGTGAGGTGCACTATTTACACAAAATCGGACGAAACTATATATGGGAGCTATATCTAAATCTGAACCGATTTCAACAAAACTTCATAGATATCAAACTGGACTTAATTAAGTATGCTGTGCAAAATTTCGTCTCAATCGCCCAATCCTTGGGAGTTTTGTGCACCATTTACATAAAATCGGACGAAACTATATATGGGAGATATATCTAAAACTGAACTGATTTCCACAAAACTTCGCATACGTGATCAAAATTTCTTCTTAACCCGCCAATCTTTGGAAGTTTGGCGCACCATTTACATTAAATCGGACGAAAATATATATGCGAGCTATATCTAAATCTAAACCAATTTCCACGAAACTTAGCACACATCATTCTAGACTTAATTATGCCAATTTTTTGTGGACATCGAAAGATATATAGGGACTTTGGTGCACCATTTACCATAAATCGGACGAATATCTATATATATATATATATATATATATATGTGAAGCTATATCTAAATCTGAACCGATTTCAACAAAAACTTTCAGACATTATTTTGGACCTAAGTCAGTACGCGGTGCATAATTTGGTCTCGATCGGACAAATATGGGGTGTTTTGTCTTAGGCCAACTAAGTGAGCTGTGCTAAATTTTCATTCAAACCGGATCATATATGCGACCTGTACTTTGTTCACAAAAATACATGGACAGACGGACGGAAAGACCCCGACTCTAATATTTGTATTAAATATAGATTTAGTATAAGCATCGGATGAATAGGTCTATCATCTGGGGTAACACCCTCACAAAAGTATCCAATTCGATATTAGACAGTAATTTCGTAGATCTCCGCAAACCATAGGCTTAGTGTATATATCTGTCGGCAACACCAACTGACCCATTTTTACCTGAAAGACCTGAAAGCTCAGAAAATATTAAGTTGGGGAAAAATCCTTTTTTTATATAAATTGTTTAAAACAGTTGTGGTCGATTTTTAGCTCCTGGCCGATGTTACGACTGCTAACATGCTGACCAACTTCGATCATTTCTCCGATTTTATCGACATTTTCGACGACTGGACTACATGTGCGAGGTGTAATTATGTGCAAAATTGCACATAATTGGCTGTTACTGTATCGGAACCATAAACACTATTAACAATTTTAGCCGCTTGGCTTGCTTGGCTTGTACCAAATTTTCTATTTGTTCACTTCCATGAAATAAAAATAATATGGCGCCCAAAGTGATGAAATGACTTAGTCCAGTGTATATGGGACACAAGCAAAACGAAAGACCGAACCCGATCCATATAATATACCCCTATGAGAACAAAGATCCTAGTCTTTGTGCAAAATAGACAACGAAAAACGGACAACACTTTGGCATAAAATCCGCCAATGGGGTACTAACTTTATATGGTGGCACTGTCAAAAATTGCTGTTACACCAATTTCTGAATTACATTCCGACAAAGTGCTCTGTACAGGAACCTAAAATAGAGCAAACTTTCTCTTACGGTATTGCATCTGCAACGTAATGCACAAGAGCACCCTCGATGCAATTATCATTTCACATTAGCCCTAATCGAAGCAGCTTATTGAAACCTAATCTGTCCGTATTTATAACTGTGAAAAAAGAACTTTCGCTAATTTTGGAGTACTTCCAGCATGGTGAACGAGATATGTATTGTCAACCTTGTAATGGGTTATATGTCCATTAGATTTAAGAATCTAAATACTCTACTGGAAATTCGAAATTGTAGGTATACGAAAACGAATTTGAGCTAAACATATTAAATCTACAATCTATTAACATATTACTGGGTCAATATTTAGGAACAAACCCCCCAATGTCTCCGTCGAATAATTTATGGACATTGAAATTAGATATTTTTCAATTTCCCCTTTTAAACCACAAAAAAGGAATTGTCTTCGAATAGTTCGAAAAAAATATTTGTGTAATGGCAACGTAATGGGATATGTTCACACAGAGCCTACACCGAAAGAAATTTCAATAAACGATATGAATACAAAAGACTCTTAAGTTAGGTTAGGTTGAAAAGAGGGGTGGATGTGGTGGATACCATCACATGTCCAACATGAGAAGGACATACACTTAAGAGGACCCCCCCCCCATTCTCGGTGTCAAATTTTTTTCGATTTAATTCGAATCTACTCTAATTCTAGAATGTTCCTACAAAATTTCAAGTGAAAATCTCAAGAACTCTTGAAGATATAGCCGATTTATTGTGTCAGCATCAAGTGACGGCTAAAGGGCTTCTCAAACTTTAAACGCGTTTTTCTCAAAACGAATGGCGGGCACGATAACTCAAAATCTAATAATCCAATCGGTTTCAAATTTTGACACGTTTCTCTGGGAGTGTGTAGCTCTCGTATGAACTAGGATAAAGCCAATCGGTGAAGATCTTCCTTATTTTTTAACTTAGTTTGTGGTAAAAAATAGGCGATTTTCCATAAAAAAATTTTCAAAGTTCCGCCATTTTGTTAATTGTTGTGCGAAGTCAATAATCCTAGTTCATACGAGAGCCAGACATGTCCTCTTTCTAACACAGTTGAAATTTTCGGATTCCGATGTTCCAGTGAGGAGTTATCATGCCCGCCATCGAAAATATGGACTTTTCTTTGAACCCAAAAAACAACAACAAAACAACAACAACAAATTTTGGTAAATTATTTTTCTTCCTTTTTAAATCTTCAAATATATATGTGCCAAGTTACAAACCTTAACAAGCATTGGTATTCATTTACCAGCCCATTTAAAATCTTAAAAATAAAAAATCGAGAATGGGGGGGGGGGGGTTCCCTTAAGCCATATGAGGCCTGTTGTGCGCTCTACATGTGCGGAGAAAGTACAAATCAAGAATTAGTGAAAGTGTATATTAATAAAGAAAAACATTTGGGTTTGATTCCCTATGAATCTAGGAATTCCGTGTTTTTTGCGAACTCCTGCAGTCTTTTCCATTCACACCCCCTCAGATCGCTTACTCCGTGAACAGTGACATTTCCCAAGAATTGTCTCCGAAGGCATGTAAATGCTGGGCAATGGCATAGGAAATATTCCAGCGTTTCACTGTCTTCCCCACTCGCTCTGCACTCGTTACTTCCTTCGCATGTGCCTTCAGGCCGAGGTGTCCCGTCAGAACTCCCGTCAGTCGGCTTATTTCTTTTTTGTTTAGCGTTAGGATTTGCTTAGTTTTGTCTTCACTTGGGTCGCCCCATAAGATTTTGGTGATTTTTCCTGTCCCCTCATTATTCCAAAGGGTTTTGTGGGTCTCATGTGCCCATTCCCTCATTTCTTGGCGTGTTTCGCTAAAGGGTCTGGCGGTATACACCTCTATTGTGGGTAGTGCAATGGCACTCCTGGCTAGTTGATTTGTTATCTCATTGCCTATGATTCCTTGGTGACCCGGTACCCATATAATTCGTACAGGTCCTTGTTGTGAGAAATCATTAATGGTTTTTATACATTCCAGTATAGTTTTGGATTTAACTGTTCTGGAAGATATTGTCTTTATAACTTGCTTGCTGTCCGTAATAATATTTACTGTCTTTTGTTGGAAATTAACCAGTTAAGACACTCTGTTATAGCTTGAACCTCCGCCTGTATGATCGTGCTGTGATCTGTAAGACGAAGAGAAATTTCGGTACCTGGTTATTCGATAAAAAGTCCCAGTCCAGTTTTTGTTCCTAGTCGAGAGCCATCCGTGTAGCAACAGTTACCAGGCGGCATCTGAACTAGTGTTCCGCTAAAAAAGGCTCTTACAAGAATATTTCGTGGTTCCATCTGGAACCTAAAAAATACCGATAATAGGGTGCATCCTTTATATGTACGATATGTTATAAAATGGAACTGTATCGAAAAATATCTGCAGTAACCTGGAATGCCAAATTACAGACACTTCGATTTGAAAATACAGCTAACGCCTACAAACTACCAAATATGGGGCGGGACTTTCATCTGCGGGCTTTTAAAATTGCCCGCCATGGACCCATAGATACAATTTTCTTAAGAAAATGTTTTTCACCCTCCGAGAACAAATAATCGCAAATAACATCTACACTGGTAAAAAAATAAGCCTTAAAGCTTCTAATACCGAAAATTGGGCGGGCGCTATGACAAAACATTAAAAAACTA